GCAGGGCACGGCGTTGGCAGATTTCTGTTGCGCCTTCAAGAACGTGAGCGTAGCGCACAATGGCTTTTTGCGTCAGCTGCTTGAAGCCAAGCCAAACGGAAACAAGGACTACGTGGCGGTCCGTAGGTTTATGGACGAGCGCGCCAAAGAAGGAGGTCAAGCGCTGGCAGTCCACAACAGCAGCGCGTCTTTCTTCACGCGTCACTCTGATCTGACTTTGAAGCTGGAGGAAATTCGCTGCGAGGCAGGCCAGAGCCTGGTGACTGACATGCGCAACCCGCGCCACAAGAGGAGCTCTGACTCTCTGAGGCGACTGTTTTGCAAGGCGCTTGAGTACGCTCTTCAGGACGTCGTGGATGCCCACAAGGCCCGCGACAATATTGCTCGCCAATATGACACAGCCCAATGCCAGGAAGAGCAGTGGCACCAGATGCACTACAGCATCTATGCGCAGCTCGGCCTTGTCGACGGGGCCTTCAGCGCAGCCTGGCCACCGACGGACCTTTGAAGTCGAACAGTCTGGATGATGTCCCTCTCTCCAGTCTCGCCTTGTCCTTGCAACCAGGATCGCAAGCCTGGACGTTGCCGAACGGTCGCCCATCTCCACAGACTTCTTTGGCAGTGCCTCTTCCTTGCTCTCTCTGTTGTCTCAGTTCCAGCGCCTCTTGCGCCCGGCCACCGGCTTGTACGCTCCCTACGGACGTCTTCCGTGGTGGCTCTTTCTCTTTTGCTTGCTTGGTGTATTGTACCAACGCCTCCTGCACCCAGCCGCCCGCTCGCGCATTCCTACGGACTTCGTCTGTAGTGCCCCTCTCTCTTCCTCTCTCCGGTGTTGTATCAGTAGTAGCGCGTCTCGTGCGCCCAGCCGCCACCTAGTAGACGATCCTTCTCTTCAGATCGATCTCGACGGTCACTCTCATCATGTATATATCATCATCACCACAGCATCCGCTGCTTTCCCACATTTCCCTTCCGAGACTTCCAATCCAAGCCTCTTCCTGCATTCATTGTTTGTATCAACCGCGACAGGCACAACCATTGTGCATTATCAATATAGCATCGTTATTTTGTGCATAGCATCTTCTCGGGTCTTACGCCTGTTTGGTGACTTCTCCCGTCCGGCACTTGATTGAGGCAAGCCACGAGCGTACCATTGATATGTCTCAACAATGTCAAGCAAGTTCTGTTTGCTGCTTCAATATCCATCCTTGAGACCCTCGAGCTAAGTAGCTTGCCTTGTCCTCTAGACCGCATCTCTTATTCTTCCTCAGACCACGCCCTGATCAGAGAACGCTCATAATGCATCAGGTCACAGCCAAACCATAGCAGGCCAAAAGAACTGAGTTTGCAAACGCTGTCTCACCTCTGGATGCGGGAAAGGCTCTAATCTTCGGTCTCATGGCAGTGTCGCTAGCTCTTTTGGCCCTTTCCCACTGGGACAAATTTTTTGCCATTGGTTGCCTTTTCTTCAACAAGGTTGTCGGAACAGCGCTTGTTTGTCTTGACTGTGGCACAAGACTTTGTCAACGCCAAACCTCTCAAGCCTCCAATGTCAGAGTGAAGTCAATAGACAGCTCGCATCTCCAAAGACTTGCAAAAGCTCAAGAAGCTTGACTCTTTTGTCATTATCAAAAGTAGCAATAATTTGGTAATTTGGGATGTCTAGAAGTTGAACCTTGCTTCGCAAAGAGGGAGGGGTGCATCCAAAAGCTTGCTGAACAGGAATGGTTGCTGCAACGAAGAAACAGCTGCTTTGAGACCTTGATCCTGTGCTTTTTGAGGGTTTCATTGAGGATAGGTAGAGAACTCACAGCCTCAAAATGCGTGATCTGCTTTGCTCTGAGCAGAAAAAGTGCATTCAGGGCTGTGTAGACATTATCAAGCCAAGGGAGGCATTCCACAACAGAAGAGGTATTTTCATCCACCTTCATTGGATTGAGACGCACAGAAAAGAGCACGCAAGGTAGGGGTTGCCAGAAGAAAGAGAGCTGGGGGCAAAGCCAAAGCTCAGGGTCTTTGACAGAGGAGTGTAGAGCTCAAAGAGGCCCAACAAGGGGTGGTATAGCTGTCTAAGATATTGCTTGGGGGATTGGAGGCTGGACTGGATTGGCGGAGCAAGCTTGGGTCCAATCTGAGTTCAGGTATCACTGCCACACATCGTCTTCTTGCCTGACTGGTTGTACAAACCTGGCTACTGGCCAGACTGCCACGACAAAAAGCATCCTTGTTGACCAACTTGGAATCGGAAAGAAGGCTCTTGCAGAGGAAAAGCTGGCAACACTCAAATCATATGCTGGGCATGAGCCAGCATATGATGAAGAGGAGCAAAGTGAGCTTGGGGTGCAAGTGGAGCTAGGAGATGCAAAGAAAAAGATCAGAGCTCTTCACAAGGAGATGCTAAAGCTGAGAACGGCTCACCAAGGAGCGCTGGCTCCCAAACTGTCACTGCAAGATTGAAGCCCACCAGGCTCTGCTAAGCAAGTGTGGCAGACCAAGTCAAACCTTAAGCAGCCCAAAGCAGCTCCAATGGTGCAAGAGTCACAGACAGCAACGCCTGTCATTACACATTTTGATGGGCAGGAAAAGATGTATGCAATCAGAAGCTGATGGCCAAGAAGATCCTCTTCCAAAGGACAAAGGCCACCTTTGCCTTCAGAATGCTGCTCTTACCAGCCCAGGACAAAGTTGAGACTCGATGCCTGGAAACGCTTGTTGCAATGCAGAAGGATGGCTTCAGAGGTCACCAGTAGGTTGAAAAGGAGAGAGAGAAGTTCTTTGAAACGGAAGTTCTACTCTACCAAGAGCAGATCACAGTTGACTACGCCTGCGCGCCCACTTCAGAGCCTCAGTGGCAGCTTTGCCAAGACCCATGGGCCTTGTTGCAAGACATTGCCTTTGGTCTGAGAAGTTTCAACATCAGAGCCAAGCAATGCAGAGCAGCAGCTGCAGATCAAGAACTTGCTGCTACAAAGCAAGATCAATTGCCTTGAAGAGGAGCTTTGTAAGGCCAACAGTTGTTCACAGCCTCAACCAACCCCTAGCAGTCACGCCGTTCTTCTTCTTGTAGAGGGCCTCTTTACTCGGGAGGCATCCTCACCGGCTTTGTCTCTGGTCGATCAGCATCAGTCAGGCATCCTTCCATGGCTTTTCCTTGAAGCAAGACTACCCCACAACAAGGAGCATCACCATGTCATCCGAATGTAGCCATCGAGATGACAGCGAGCCAGCGGACGTGCTCAATGCACAGTCGACTACGCCCCCACGCCAGCTTCTGAGTCCCAGTGGCAGCTTTCCCAAGCCACCCGGACCTTGC